GTTTCCACCGGTTCCCCCCTCACTGAGGCACTCAGAGGTCCAGGTGTTGGTGTTTGCCTGCTCTACCACCTGGGCTTCAGGATTTCTTCACAATTGGAGGCTTCAGGGCTCCTACAGCTCACCTGGTGTTGGGTTGGAATCAGCAAGACCGGGGCTTTAGGAAGCCTTTAGGTTGTTTTCTTCACCTCCTTTCAGATGAATGCCACAGGGTACTTATCCCTGGGGCCCCCTTTTTTGCTGAGGCACTGGAGAGACCGTTTGCTGGGCTACTGCACTGCTGCTCCTCTTTCTTTTTCTAGTTCAGGTGTTCCAGGGTTTTTTTTTTTTCCTGGGCTGATATTTTCTGGGTTTTCAGAGGTTGATAGGGGACAGTGAGAGCGACTACCTTTTCACTCCGCCATCTTGGCTCCCAGAAGCGGAAGTCTAATTTTTTTTTTATAATGATTTCAACTATACATTTCCCTCCATCCTATTTCCCCTTGTTTATCCTACTCTCTCTATCCTTTTACCTTGTCCATTCTCAAGTCTCTTTTGCTTCTGACTTTTATCTCTTCCAAACTGCCCTCCCTTCTATCAGCTCCTCCTCTGCTTCTTTTACCCCTTTCACTTCCTGCTTTTTTGTATGGTACAGCTCAAATGAGTGTGTATATTATTCCCGCTTTGAGCCAATTCTGATAAGAGTAAGGATCATGTGTTCCCCTTCCCTCTTCCCCCATTTTCTCCACTACTGTAAAATCTCTTTCAGGACTCTTTTACATCAGATAATTCATCCCATTCTACCTTTCCCTCTCTCCTTCTCCCAATGCATTCTTCTTTCTCATCCCTTCATCTTATTTTTTTAGATAATTATACCATCACGTTCAACTCACACCTCTGTTTTCTGTCTATATATACTCCTAACTGCCCTAATGGTGAGAATATTTTTATAAGTTATAAATGTCATTTTCCTATGTAAAAAATATAAACAGTTTAACCTTATCAAATCCCTTATGGTTTCTCTTTCCTGTTTACTTTTGTATGCTTCTTTTGCATCTTGTATTTGAAAGTCAAATTTTCTATCCATTTCTGGTCTTTTCATCAGAAATGTTTGAAAACCTATTTCATTGACTATCTTTTTTTCCCCTAAAGGATTATACTCAGTTTGGCTGGGTAGGTGATTCTTGATTGTAATCCTAGTTCTTTGCCCTCCAGAATATCATATCCCAAGTTCTTTGATCCTTTAAAATAGAAGATGCTAAATCTTGTATTATCTTGACTGTAGCTCCACAATATTAGAATTGTTTCTTTTTGGATGCTTGCAATATTTTCAACTTGCTCTGAGAGGTCTGGAATTTGACTGTAATATTCCTGGGAGTTTTCCTTTGAGGATCTCTTTCAGGAGGTGATTGGTGGATTCTTTCCATTTCTATTTTACCCTCTGGTTCTACAATATCAGGGCAGTTTTCCTTGATAATTTCTTGAAAGATGATGGCTAAACTCTTTTGCTTAATCATGGCTTTCAGATAGTCCAATAATTTTTAAATTGTCTCTCCTGGGTCTATTTTCCATGTCAGTTGTTTTTACATTGAGATATTTCACATTGTCCTCTAGTTTTTTCATTCTTTTGGTTTTGTTTTACGATTTCTTGATTTCTCAGAAAGCCATTAGCTTCCATTTGCTCCATTCTAATTTTTAAGGAAGTACTTTCTTCAGTGAGCTTTTGGACTTCCTTTTCCATTTGGCCAATTCTACTTTTTAAGGCATTCTTCTCCTCATTGGCTTTTTGGGCCTCTTTTGCCATTTGGGTTAGGCTATTTTTTTAAGGTGTTATTTTCAGTATTTTTTTGGGTCTCCTTCAGGAAGCTGTTGACTTCGTTTTTTTTTTTATGATTTTCTTGTATCACTCTCATTTCTCTTCCCAGTTTTTCCTCTACTTCTCTTAATTGCTTCTCAAAATCTTTTTTGAGATCTTCCATGGCCTGGAACTGATTCATATTTTTCTTGGAGGCTTGGGATGTAGCTTTGATTTTGTTGTCTTCTTCCAGTTGCATGTTTTGCTCTTCTTTGTCACCAAAGAAAGATTTTATGGTCTGATTTTTTTTTTTGTGAAGTTTGCTCATGATCGCAGCCAATTACTTGAGTTTTAAACTCTTTGTGAAGGTACGGGTCTGCTTCCAGTGTGGAGAATGTACTGTTCAAAGCTTTAGGGGTTTTGTGTAGCTGTTTTCAGAGATATTTCTAGGGACCTGTAATTTTTCCATTCTCACAAGGTGGTATGATCAAGGGTGAGGTGTTTACTATTTTCTTGACCTGAGTTCTGGTCTATGAGTGACCACAACCACTCTTTTCTGCCTTGGAACTGTGAGGTGGATTCTCCCTGCACCACCACTGCAAGCTCCACCACCACACCAGAGCTCCTCCTCGCCCCAGGACTGCCACCCAGAACTGTGACCCAGATCCAAACATGGGCAAAGCAAGAGTATCCTGCCTTGGCACCAGCAAAGAGATCCCTGCAATCCCCCTCTGATCAGCCACTGGATTCCCCCTCAGTCTGTGGGCCAGAATCTCCATAAGCAGCCACCACCCTGGGGCTGTGCCAGGACTGGGGCTAGGATGGAGCTTCTCTCTCATCAATGTCCAATAGACCTTTCCTACTGGCTTTCTAATTCATCATTGTTGTCTGTGGGTTGAGTAGTCTGGAAACTGCCACAGCTGCCAGTGATTTAGTCCCCTGAGGCCTGCTCCAGGTTCACTGAGGGCTGGTCTTTGCTTGTGTGCTCATGCTGAACTGTACTCCTCTCCCAGCCTGGCACAATAGACCTTTCCGATCAACCATCCAGGTTGCCTTGGGCTGGAAATTTGTAGGTTGTGTTGCTCTAGAATTTGTTTAGAGCCATTTTTACAGGTATTTGGAGGGGTTTGAGGGAGAGCTCAAGCAATTCATTGCTTTTACTCTACCATCTTGGCTTCACCTCCCTTTTTTTCTGTTCTTTTGACTTTGTTGTATTGTTTGTTTTTTGTTTTGTTTTATTTTTTTGCTTTTTTGGGAAGGCAATCAGGGTTAAGTGATTTGCCCAAGGTCACATAGCTAGTAAGTGTCAAGTGTCTGAGGTTGGATTTGAACTCAGGTCCTCCTGACTGCAAGGCTGGATCTCTATCTGCTGCACCACCAAACTACCGCTGTTTTGTTTCTTAACATCTCACGGAGTCATTAGTTTCCAGTTGCCTCATTCTAGTTTCTAATGAATTATTTTCTTTGGTGAACTTTTATATGCTTTTCCCCCCTTTTGTTCAATTCTGTTTTTTAAAGAGTTCTTTTCTTCAGTTGGTTTTTGTGTGTCTTTTACCCTTAGGCCAATTCCATTTTTTTTAAGGTGCTATTTTTTTTAGTATTTTTTGTGCCTCTTTTACCAGGAATTCTCTTTTCATAATTATCTCACATCAATCTCATTTCTTTTCTTCCACCACTGTTATCTCTTTCTTTAACTCATCTAGGAATTGTTGTTGGGCTTCAATTTAATTTTTATTTTATTTTGGGCTTTGCATATAGCTGTTTTCACATTGCTGTCTTCTGAGTTTATTTCTTGGTTTTCCTTGTCACCGCAATAACTTTTTATGGTCAAGTTTGTTGTTGTTGTTTGTTCATTTTTTCAAGTCTCTTTCTTGACCTTGAATGTTATGTTACAGTTGGACACTGCTCACATGAGGGTGGGGAGGCACTGTCACCAGCTTCAAGCTTTTTTATGCTGCTGTTTCCAGAGCTCGTTCTGGGGTCTGTAAGTTTGTTGGTGTTTTCGAGGTGGTGTGATCCAGGGAAAGGTGTGATCATTACTCTCCAGGGCCCTGCTTCCCTGCACCCACAAGTGCTAGTGCTCCTCTCTTCCTTGGACCTGTGATCAGGGCATTAGGACTAATCACAGGACATTCTCTCCACTCCGGAGCTGCATATCCTCATCAAACAGGGCCAGGTCCTGCATATGATGCCAGGTCAGGGTCCCTGCAAACTCTCTTACTGTCTCTGAGATGAGAGCTCTTAAAGCTACTGCTGCTGCTGCTGCTGCTGCTGCTGCTACTGCTACTGTCATAACCACCTCCAAGGCCCACCACTGGTGTACATTCTGGACAAGCCCCCACTAAAGTATCACAGACCTCTCCTGCTGACCTCCTAACTTGTCTTAGGCTAGAAAAATGTCTCACCCTTACCTTTTGTTGGCTCTGCCATTCCAGACTTTGATTTGACATGTCATTGTAAAGTTTTTTGGAGAGAGATGGGAGAGTTTGCTGAGGTTGCTACTTCCACTCTGCCATCTTGGCCAATTATTGTTATTAAAAAATACAGGCCTTTGTTTCTGGAAAAGGTTTAGGATCACTAAGAAAATGCTGCTCATACTCCTCTTCCAGTTTAGTTCTAGGTCCAATAGTTTGTCCATTCGCAGTGTCTGAACATTGCATATGTGTATATATACAAAATGTCCCAAAAGTCTTAGTGCAACTTCAAAACTGCACTAAGGCTTTTGGTATCTCCTGTGTGTGTAAGTTTGTGTGTATGTACCACATGCATATCTATGTTTCAATATTTACATATATATGTATGTATTGGATATATATATCTTTATATACATACATTATATGTTGAGGAGTAAGCTCTGTAGGTTGTTTGTTTACTGACCTATGTTTGTCACTGAATAATGGTCCATAGCCTATTTTTTGTGTCTCTGAATTAAGAATATTTTTGTTTTACATTTTTAAAAATAAAGCTCTATTGTATTTTTGAATATAAAAACCATCCTCAACTTGTGGCCTGACCATTCCAAACAACCAATTGGCTAGATTTGGTCCTTAAGCTTCCATTTGCTAGCTTTTAATGTAGACAATTACTCATCCATTTGTTTTTTCCTGTATAAATGGTTAGTCAAACTTAAATTAGAGTGAAATTCAATGATCACTAAAGGCCTTTGAAAAGTTCTTTAAATAATCTGAAATGGATTCTTCTCCTCAGAAGAAGGGAGATGTTCCAGAGTTTAACCTGTACCACAAAGCCTTTCCCAGATCCTTTGGGGGCAGTGCCTGAGCTGCCAGAGAATCCTCAGGGAGGCTTGCCTTAGCTTGTTATTCAACTTGATCAAGATGATGGAGTGGGCCAAGGGGTAGATGGCTGTTATTATCATTGAAAACAAAACAAGTAAAGGATTGTCCAAAAGAATGTAGCTCGAGGTTCCTATGACGATGCTCACATGGTATAGTAAAAAGAGGAAAAGGAAAGAGACTATAGATTTCATGGTCTTCTTATGGACCTCTGTGCCAGAGTCTCTGCAGTTTGTGACATTCCCCTGCATCTGCTGGCTGTGCTTCCACAGGGAGAAGACCAACAAAAGGCAGGAGATGAGAGAGAAAATGAAGGGGACAAACCCCCCCCATGTAGTAGAGAATCAGATTGAAAAAATGGTGCTCTTTAGTTATTTGTGTCTCATGAGTGCCATTTGTTCTATTTCCATGCGCTACACAGATTGTAGATATAGTAATTTTCTCCGCCAACAAAAGATCGACAAGCAAGGTAACGAGGAAGCAGATGCAAACCATCCTGAAGACCACTTTGTTAACCCTCCACTTCAGCCAGAGGAAGGCAGGGTGGGAAAAGTTGGAAATCTTCGGGAAGTAGAAGACACTGAGGCAGGTGTCAAACCAGGTGTTTAAGTGGTTGCTCAAATTCCAGATGGATTCTAGATATATCATCTCATGAAAGATAAAGAAATTAATTACAATGACCATACATGCAAATGACCCCATTAAAATAATCCTGGAGGTGGCCAAGGCAGTGAGGATTAAGTCCAATGAAGACAGTCTTCCAGTCTTGACCCAGTCCATGAAATTGACCAGTACAATGAAGCCATTGGTGAACCCACCCACTAGACACTTTCCAGCTGCCACCATCACAAAGATGTTTCCAATGGCACCTGGCATGTCTGCAGGGAAAAAAAAGCACCTTTCAAAGTACTATAACTGAAATATTCCCAGACAATGTGGTATATCTGTCTTTAAAATGATAATTGTCTTTGCCTTCATAACAACAGTCTCCCTCTTTGCCAGAAAGTACCCAACACTATTATGAATTGGAGCTTCAGCTGTCTTCCGGACACCTGCTACCCTTCCTTTGATAGACCGGGCAGTAATTTTAGCCCAGATTCTGAATGTGTCCTTTGAACATGGACAGATGGAAAAGTTCTATGTTATTCCTGATTGAGAGGCAAGGTGCTGTTTGCCCAGATGTAAATGAAAAGCAGTTTCTATTTCACTGCTTTGACTCTTCTCCCCCAGCCTAATTTGCCTTCAAGAGTCATCAGTAATAGCCTAGCATCTGAGGATATAGAAAATCAATGAATAAATGTGATGATTGAAGCTTGCCACCTTCTTGACCATCTTCTTCATGGAGACCCAGTCTGATAGAAGATTGCTATCTGTCCCTCCACCCCATCGCAGGAATTTCAGAACAGTGAACACTTGCCATATTAGAAAGTCAAAGGAAGAGTTAACCAACAGCTCTGTCTCCTTTGCAAATTCAGCACCTTCTCTGCTGGCACACTTGGAGGGTGGGAAAGTGGGCAGGGGAGTGATAAATACCACACCAAAGCACCAAATCCTATCAGCCCTACATTTTCCAAGGTCAGAAGCATACAGAGCCTTGAAATTCCCAAGGTGCCACAACCCCTCAGCATCAAATCACACACATCAGCAGAAAAAAAAAGAGGCAGCTTTGCATTTTCTAAGCTTAACCCTCTTACTCTCTGAATCCATGACTTTTTATAGCTTTGTACATGGTCAGAGATTAAAACATTGAATTGAATTGTGTGGGAAAATAGTGACTTTGTGCATGTTGCCCCCATAGTCTCTCATTAATTCCCTTTCATACTACCAAGAGGTGGATTCATGCTTCCTACATTTACCTCTTCAGAATTCTAGAGATACCCTTGAGGGATTATGGGGTCTTCTCTAATGTTCTCAGTTTGAGATCCCATTCTGGCATATTTTCCACTATCCAGTCTTAATAATGATTTAGCTTTTCAGTATCATCTAACTAGTGCTCCTTAATATCTCCTCAATATCATTTGGACCATTTCATAGTGCCCCAGTATAAATCAACCAATTAATATCAATTAGACTTTTCAAAGGAATACTTACTGAGAAATTGTCATGAAGATAGACATAGAAACCCAGATGTGAAGCTAGGTCACTGGCAGCAGAGTGGGTGGTGTTACTCTGCTCACAAATCTCTTTGCACCTGGAACATCAGAGGATTCCTTGTCTTGTTCAACCAAATAAAGTCAGGGAAGAGATGGGGAGGGTGTCTCTTTGGCCATCTAGTTTCTTTGGATGTGTACCCATTTCTGGCTCAGCAGTCATTCAAAAATCCAAATTTCTTCATCACCTCTTAAGCAGACAGGAAGCAGTCATAGAATGTCTGTGGGAGCATCACATCAATCTAAATGGGATTATAAAACTTTGAATACATTGTACATGTTCAGCGAGCTTTCTCTGGGTGGACCTCTGCTCTACTCTTCCCTGTCAATGTTTTTTCATCTTTTGAAAATTGTTAAGGGTTTATTTTGGACATGTTGTTCAGGTGTCGATATGTAATGGTCCTTGGGAGTACCTGGGAGACATAAGTATTGTCCCTGCTCTTGTCTTGAATGTCTGACAAGAAAGAGTCTCACAGCAGTTGGTATGGAAAGATATTTGACCATTCCACTTATACAGATTTAAAGCGTGATTTTCCCCAAATAGAGTGATGCAGACCTTTGAAAACAAGCACTTCCCAATCACCCTTCATGGTAGTGTCTTCCCTCCATCATCTCCAATTTACTCTGGTTTGTCCTGTTTATACATAGTTGTTTTCACACCGTCTCCTCTGCTGCTCTGCAAGCTGCCTGAGGGAAGGGACTGGTTTGGCTCATCTTTTGTTTACCTCGTGACTTAACACAATACTTGACACATAGTAAGCACTTAATACATATTTGTTAAATTGATCTGAATACAGGAAATGCAAAGGCAAAGAAAATCTAGCTTTCTATCTCAGAAGGAAACTTGGTCTCTACAGGGCTTCCCATGCCATATGTAGCATTCCCTGAAGGGAATTGAGACCTGGGATTAATTAGCAGTTACCCCATCCCCTCTGGTGAGAAACCAAAATCATCTAGGTGAAAACTCTTTCATGATTCCCTCAGTGAATCAAGCTGTCCAAACTTGAGTCTGGACAAAATTTCTAGATATCCCTTTCTACTCAGGGTGCATCCCTCCAAAGATTAAGCACTTAAGGCTGGTTATTTAGGGTTTCTAGGTCAATAGCCAAATTATATTCTATGAATTTCCAGTGCTTAAGGATCTTCCAATGAGGCAAAAAAAAATGTATAGGTCTATTTAAAAGCAGAAGAAAAATATGAACATTTGTCAGTTAGGCACCAACATGTCATGGCCACAAAATCAATCCTTGTAAAGGATTGAATCATATAATAGGTATCAGTACTTAAACATTCCAACTATGAAAAAGTTGTCTCAGAGAATTTGTTTGATTTGTAAAAGGAACAAATAGGGGGAAAAAATGACTAACTTATAACCTAAAACCAAGAGAGAAAAAAATGCCGTTTTTTCTAGTGGACTCCAAAATAAGTATACCCAGTAACAAAAATTCCAAGGTGATAATTTCCTCAGTGAGTTTGCACAAATATTAGTCCAAGGTTGACCCCAGATAAAGCCCAAAGTCTAATGTAATTATGTAGAGGGACAAGCCTGTGCTGTGTGCTGTATTTGCCAAAGGGACACAACTCCTGATGGGCTCAGAAAATGCTAACCATGACCCTGCATTGCTGCTGTAAAGAATTTAGTTCTATAAACTTGATGGAAATATAATAAAGTTCCTCCAAGGAGAGTTAGTTGAGAGAGAGCAATACTTTAGAATGGTGTTCTGGAGCCCTCAGAGCCATAGACTTGTGTGGGAAACTAGGTCCATCATATTCCTTGATTTCTAGGGCTTGTTATTCTAAGAACTGCTAAGAAAAGACTTCCTCTAAGCTCTCCCTCTCTCTCTCTCTCTCTCTCTCTCGTCTCTCTCTCTCTCTCTCTCTCTCTCTCTCTCTCTCTCTCTCTCTCTCTCTCTCTCTCTGTCTCTCTCTCTCTCTCTCTCTCTCTCTCTCTCTCTCTCTCTCTCTCTCTCTCTCTCTGTCTCTCTCTCTCTGTCTCTGTCTCTGTCTCTCTCTCTGTCTCTCTCTCTCTCTCTCTCTCTCTCTCTCTCTCTCTCTCTCTCTCTCTCTCTCTCTCTCTCTCTCTCTCAGAAAGCTAGCTCGTTGGTTCAGTGGATAGAGCACTGGGTCTGGCATTAGGAAGACCTGAATTCAAATTTGGCCTCTGACGCTGACTAGATGTGTGACTCTGGATAAGTAACTTAACCAATGTCTGCCTCCATTTCCTCATTTGCAATATGGAGATAATGATAAGAGTATTTACTTCACAGGATCATGGTGTCAAAGTGAGATAATGTTTCTAAAGCATTTAGCACAGAGCCTGACACTTAGCAGGTGCATAACAAAAGCTTGTTTCTTTGCCTTTTCTAACCTCCCCCCAGGAGAAAAGTTTAAAAAGTAAGCCTCCAAAGGGGAGGGGAAAAAGAAAACCAGAACACCTGAAGAATCAACCCACTCAAACCTCTAATACAGATGAAGAGAGAGACTTCAAAAATTCAACGATAAAATAAGAAATGTCAGAATGAGGTAGGAATTTTTTTTCAAAATCTGAAGAGAATAAAAAGAAAACAAAAAAATAATAATAAAAAGAAAAAAACAAACTTTTCTCCTCTGACACTGCCCCCACTCTGGTGCAGACCTCTCATCGTCTCATCCCAGGATTATGTCAATAGCTTCTGAAGGGTCCACCTGCCTCAAGTCCCTCCCCACTCCATTCCATGCTCCATTCAGCCACTGAAGTGATTTTCTAAAGTAAAGATCCAATCATGTCACTCCTCCTATTTGACAAGCCTCAGTGGCTCCCAATGCCTCCAGGACCAAATATAAAATCTTCTCTTTCACTTTTCAAAATCCTCCGTAACCTTTTTGGTCCCTAACTTTCCAGCAATCCAGTAACAACAGAAATTGTTGCTGTTCCTCCCATAAGATACTCCATCTCCCAACAATGGACATTTCCCCTGGCTGCCCCCCCCACCCGTATTCTTTCCCTGTTTCCTGACTCGTTGGCTTCCTTCAAGTCCCAGTTAAAATTCCACTTTCAAGGGGCAGCTAGGTGGCACAGTGGATAGAGCACCGGCCCCGAAGTCAGGAGGACCTGAGTTCAAATCCTGCCTCAGACCAAATGCTTGACACTTACTAACTGTGTGACCCTGGGCAAGTCACTTAACCCCAATTGCCAAAAAAAAAACCCAATAAATAATATAAAAATAAAATTCCACCTTCAAAAACAAGCATTTCCCAATCCCGCTTAATACCAGTGTCTGTACTCTGCCAATTCTTTCCAGTGTCTCATGGATCTTGTTTGTACCAAGCTGTTTACATATCGTTGACTGTGAACAACTTGAGAGCTGGGACTGTCGTTTTTGTTTCTTTGTTTTATTTTGCTGATTTTTTATCAATGTTAAACACACATTCACTAGTAGGCCTAACATTAAAAAAAATCAGATGTAATTAATTGAATTTTCAGAAAACAATAAAGCACACCAAGAGTTTTTGGGATACTTAATCAGACTTCTTTCAGACTTAGAAAAATCTAACAAAAAATAAATAGAAAATAAATTAGACAACTTATCATAAACATTTGAAAAACTATTATTTTGTGATTGCTAAATGAGTATTTCAAGGATTATAATTATCTTTCAGAGTTGTATGGAAACTTTGAAAGATTTTCTACATTCTGGGGAACAAAGAAATAATAAGCAAGGAAAATATGGAAGATATTAAAATATC